GCCTGGAGCCACAGAGCCATGCTTATGAGGCTCGAAGGAGGAGTAATTCAAGGAAACAAAAAGAAAAAAACAAACAAAAAAGAAAAAAAAATAAAAGGATAAAAAAACATTGTGGCACCAGAAGTCACAAAAGGAACAGAGAGCTCCAAGTAACAGTTCATCTTTGAAGTTGGAGCAAATGGTTGTTTGGTTGTTAGTTTGGTTGTTAATTTTGGTTAATATGCTTTTTTTTTTTTCTTTTTCTTAGTGTAACTGCCTCTTTAAGAATGACAGCTTTGAGAACCCATCCCCTCTCTGTGTTGTTAATTTCTCTGTTTAGATAATGTAACCAACAGAGAGAGGGGTGAGCCGCCATTTGACTGGAGAGCTTTACTTGTCAACTGCAGACAAGCACGAGGAAATGAAACGGGTAGCAACATGAACTGGAAGATATGAAGCAAGCATCTCTGTCCATCCTGTCCTGAAATTTGGAAAATGTCCATCAAAGAGCAGAAGCGGAGGCAGAGCTGGAGAAATAAAGGACAGACAGAAAGGAGAAAGAGGCAGCTGGAGCCACTTAAGTTCAGTTTCCTCTAAAGACTTTCCTCTGTGTATGACACACGTCCATTGGTTCCAGAGTCCATTCGCATTACAGAGTTGTCAGTAATCAAATAAGGAGGTGGTTTTTAAAGCTGTTTTGAGCCTGGCTTTGGCTCCCATGCCCAGTTTTGTGTGCCCAGAGCCTCTCTTGTCCTCCTAACAAGATCTCCAAAGCTTCCCAGAGTCCTTTATCATTTCTTTTTATTCCTTCTTCATCTCAAAAAACAAACAAACAAATAAAAGAAAACAAACAGTTGATGTCTTGGTTTTAAATATATCTATATCTGTATACAGGTACACTTTCGTTTTCACAGTGGGCAAAAGATGACCTCTACAGCAAGACCTTGTCTTTATCCCTCTCTTGTAATTGTCCATTAAAATCAAGTATCCCAAATGTAAGGAGGTGGATCCCTGTATCCACAATAGCATTGTGTGCCGCAATAAAATATACACTTATCCGGGGCACGTTTTTTTTTTTCCTTTGTGTTTCAACTGCATAAAGCTTTGGCCACATTCATATATTCAATCAAAGTAAAAACTGCTCAGTGCTTCGGTATCATCGTTCTCATTTCCAATCGTTATCTTTTAAATTTGATTTTCTGAATTTCAGTTATTCACAATCCAGCTTCGTGGTTCAGCTTGTTTTGGTGAGTAACATATAACCAAAAAATAATAATAATTAAAGGCAAAGAAGAAAAAAAAATTGAATTGATGCTGGCTCTTATGACACGCACGCACATACACGCGCACAAACGTACAACGCACACTTACATAAACACACAAACCCATACAGAGTACATGCTGGCTGAATCTAATGTGAAGACCTCAACTGTGTCTTCCACAAAAGAGCCCAAAAGATTACACTTTGGAAAAAAAAAAAGCAAAAAGTATCATTGAGACAATGAATATAAAGTGGCCAGGTCATAATTTTCGTTTTTGTCTCTCAATTTCAGCAATTCAATTTAAAGCTAGTGTTAATTTATGATAAAAAGTAATACACGGAAAATAAAATAAAATACTTCTAAGAAAATAATACATGTCTGACATTATCTAAAAAATAAAATAAAGCAAACATATTTTGAGGAAAAACTGTACAACTTAAGGATTGGGGGTTTTTTCAACACGAGAAAGCACAAGTGAACAGTATTTCAGGGAACTGGACTTGAGACGTAGCAAGCTTGCAGACCAGATCTACTGACTTTCAACAGCATGCTGTAGTATTAACACCAAATACCATTTCTCTACAAGATGTAGCATTTTTAAACACCTTTGAGATTGTGCCTTTTTAGTCATTAGGGCAAAATATATTGACTATACAATAGTGGCCAAAAAAGTAGTTCTCCACAAATTTAAATATGTCTTGGTTTTGGTTTAAAAAAAAAAAAAGACAAATTAAAATGATGATATCATAAGGGAGAAGGGCGTGGTACCTACGCACATCCATTTCCATTGCAACAAAACGAAGTAAGTGACTTCTTTGGACATGAAAGCATCCTAACAATTTGAAAACAAGAGACATCTTCAAAAATAACCTCCTACTTTTTCCAGACATAATGCTTTGGAATGAAGATGTCTCTACCTGTAATCTATGTGTGGAAGTGGCACCCTGCAGACACATGCAACAAGTGACTGAGCGACAGCACCTCAGCAAAACGGCCGTTATTCCCCTCTGAGACTAGTTGTAGGTCGACTGGTATAAATGTTACTAAACCTATGAGACGCATCAGTACCAGATGTATTATATACATTTTTTGGTAACCACTATTACTTGCTTAACAAGTGAGCAACAACCTTGACTGGATGGAGGGATTTTCAGCAACGTTCCATGCCAGCACAAAATGACATATGGGGGTCGCTTTCTTCAGCAACCAATGATGCAAAAAATGTACACAACAGTTTACAGTCACTTCAAAAATGAGGAAAAAATAGATTGTGACAATTAAAAGCAATCAAATGAAACAGGATCAGTCCTTGCTTAAGAAAAATCCATTGTGATATTTGGAATGCACTGTTCTTTACAAACGTTATAGATCATTGGCTTTAAACATTGGTCTATTCAAAAAAAAAAGAAAATCGGCAAAATGTCCTTTGGAACATATATTCACAGTCTTCAAAGTTCCGTTTTTGCAACAAGAAAAAAAAAAAGGTGTTGCAGAGGCAAGAAATTGGTTTATTGTTTGTTTTAAAGCTTAGCCAAAAGCAAAATGAGCATGCATCTAGGTACTCTTTTTTTTTTCCCTCAAAATTCTACATTAGCAGCAAAACGTATGTCCTTGAAGACCAGACCTTATACATTTTCTTAAAAAAATTGACATTTGAATGTGACAAAAGTCAAACAAAGATTAATAACCTCTATCTTACAAACTGCAATGGCTCTGTAACGGTGCTACTCCACAATGCAAGGACAAGGGCCCTTTTTGGTTTTTGGTATTTACGTAAAAAAGCCACCTGTTTGCTTGCAAAGAAGCAAAATCGGCAACTCTGATGCGTACTCCTTTATCTTTTAAAACTTTGTTTCTTTCCTCTAAAAACAGCAACAAATTCTCAAGTATAAAGAACCCTCTTTTCTCATCTTTATGCACCAATGGTGAAAGTGTTTAGTCTTTGGATTTTCTTTTTGTCTTAAAGCGTGAGAATTATTATTAGTATTCTTTTTTCATTTTCACTTATGACAAAAAAAAGGTAAAAAAAAAAAAAAAAAAGACCGTAGCCACACTACATGAAGAACAAAAGACCTGCTTTGTATACATATCTACAAACACAGGAGAGCGAGAGAGAAAAATAAGTGCCGAGAGAGGAAAACGAAGAGTGAAAAATAGGAGTCAGACAGTGATAAGTGCACAAAGGTAACACAAAAATTAAATTAAATAAAACTTTCAATATTTCACCCATTATCTTTTTCATTTTGGTTAGAGCAATACCAACCAAATCATAAAATTTAAATAATGCTAAAAGAGGATCCTGCCTTGTCAGGAGGGGCATTTGGGTTCATGTTTCCCAAGAAGTTAAGAATAAGACAGAAATAAAGTTTCGATAAATTACCTGTCCATAATCTAGACTATCGGAATGACCAAGACAACATCAAATGAAGTGTCATAAAATTGGACAATACAAAAGCTAAATGTACATAAAGGTTTTTTTTTCCTCCAACCTACCATACTGTTTAAATTCGTTTCCAATGCAACATTCTACTTAACACCAAAAATGCTTGTATCTATCATAAATACAGAAGGCTGATTCTTTTTTTTCTTTTTTCTTTTTTAATTAAAACTATTCATCGCCCGTTATCACGTCTGCAATGCTTTCCTTGTATGGGATCATCGGGACTGTAACTTCCCCACTTTGAAAGGATTTCTGATATTGAAATCAGCAAATCGTTTGACCCTATTTGAATGCCCAGAAACAATGCCTTATCAAAATTTAATTCAACTTAAACTTTCTATTAGTAAATCAAGTTCAGAAAGAAAACAATAATAATGCTCATCTCCTGTTGGAAACACAAGGTGAAAACATGAATTTCTGTAACAGAAAAACATCTGTGAGCTGTTGACCTGAGAATAAAATAGACATTACATTATTCTTTCACTTTTGCAAGCCATTGGTATCTGAATGCTTAAATAGCAAGAAAACTGATAGACTATTCTCCCATACAGTACATACTGGCTTTTTGTGGCTGTGCTATTAAGTAGAAATTATTACAAAACAAAGGGACAGCTTGTTGACTTGCATTTCTTCAAAAGGGTTCCTGGGCCATCTGTCAACTTTGAGGCAGTCCATTGCCATACAGTACAGCATTCCTCCACCATTACCCAAAACGTAACTGCAGCGATCTTTTTCTGTTCTCACATATTAGTATGCCTGTACACAGATTAGCCACGACATTAAAAACACTGACAGCTGATTAAAAAAAAGAAATTGTTCACCTCGTTACAGTGTGATGCTGGGAAACCTTGGCATTCATGCGGATGGTATTTTGACCAACCGCACAGCAGGATTAAGGAACACGACAAAGAACCTAAGGCGTTAACCTGGCCTTCAACCTCCCCCGACCTCAACGCAATCCCAGTCTGCAGCCGACATCCCAGTACCAGAAACCACGGGACACACCGAAGGGTCAAGTGTCCGTGCCCTGATGAGTCATAAACTATTTTGCTGGCACAATGGGGCATACACAATTTAATGCAGGTGGTTTTAATGTTGTGGCTGATCGGTGCGTTTCGGTTGAGTTAAAACAAAAACAAAAGAAAAACAAAGAAATACAAAAATGAAAACCAGCATGTTGATATGGGAAAACAATCCACTAACATTTAAATTTTTGGTTACAAGCTTTGGAATTGCAGTTAGTCTTTACACATCTTTTTCTGAAATTGGTTTGTATACTTTTAATGTATTTTTAACATTGCTGCTTTTTATGGGTTTTTTTAATTTTTGGATTTTTTTTTTTTTGTCTTTTAGGGAGTTTTTTTTAAATATCGTCCATCACTGAAAGCTCTTTTACAATCTGATGGAGTCTGTTCCTACACTAGCAAGATTACTACTACAACTATTACTGTCTTTGACAAAGCCAGGCTGCTGCGGCTCCTCCGCCGTCCTGCCCAGCCTGTTTGCTGACTTCTGACTGCTGTCAGAGTCAGACTCGTCGGTAAAGACGTCTGTTGGTATCGAGGTCTGAACTCCTGAGGTGCTCAATGAACTTGAGGTAACCGTTGAAGGTGAGGACACTGGAGGAAAAGAGGAGGAAGAAGAGGAGGGACTAGCATTGGGCTTCCCAGCTAAAGCTCTGGGGAAAGGGGCCTGGGGCCAGGGTTTTCCGGCAGCTGTGGTGTTGAGTTGGGTAGTAGAGGAGGAGCACAAAGATGAGGAGACAGCAGAAGATGGCATGGTGGCTGATGTTGTTGGCGGGGGAGGAGGGCTGCTGATGGGATGAGTGGCAGACTGCGAGGTAGATGCGGTGTTAGGATTGGGGAAGCAGGCTGAAGAGTGAGGTAATAAACTAGTAGCGTGCTCTTTGGCATTTCTGACCGATCTCTTGATTGTTCTGTGTTTGTGCAATGCCGATTCCAGGTGTTGACTGAGTGCTTTCTCCCCATCCAACGTAGTGTCACAAGCCAGGCAGTCATAGAGACTTCCAGCCCCTACACCTACGCCACCGGGGACACGCAGCAACATCTCTTGCAGGTTTGCCACAGACTGACCGAAAAAGCAGTTCGATTTAAGGTGGGTAATAGCCGCTTCTTCCTTGGTGAAAACAGCTTGACACTTGCGGCATGCCAGTTTATACTGCACCTTGGGGACGATATACTGGTCTAGATGGGTGTCCACAGGTTTGCCATCCATCTCATTCTGCTCGGAGGGTACTGTAGTATGAGAAGAGGACGAGGAGGAAGAGGACGAGGAGGAAGTGGGAGGTTCACTTTGTGGATTGCCCTTTTGCTCCTCTGATTTCGCTGGATCTTTGGCAGAATCTTTGCGATCCCCCAAGGTTTGAGGGGGAACTGAAGTTTGGCTCGCCTTGGGTTGCTGGATCTGCTGAAGCTGCCGCTGCTGCTGCTGTAGTGCCTCCTGCAAGCTCTGCTGATATTGCTGGTAATGCTGCAGTAGGGACCCTGGAGACAGGCCCATCAGTGCTTGTGACAATGCTGGGTTGTAAGGGAAGAGACTTTCCATACCATACATTGGTTGCAGGTAGCCCCCTTGTAGAGCCCCAGGAATCTGAGGGGTATAATATGGGGAAAAGCCAGGCATGAAGTAGGGTAGAAACTGGTTTGTGAGGAGAGCTGTGGGATCTGATGCCAAAGCAGCCTGGAGGGCCTGAAGCTGGGCAGGATCTACCACATACTCCATTCCAGGTGTGGGCATAGAAGTGGCAGGAACAGCTGTTTCAGGTTTCTCCTTTTTGGCGCTGGCAGCAGAAGTGGAAGGGGCGGGGGTGCTTCCAGTTGATGATGGAGTTGAGGGCTTCTCTGTCTTTTCCTTGGCCTTCTCCTTCTCTTTTACTCTCTCAGTATCTCGTTCTTTGGGGGGTTCAGGTCGCGACTGACTGGTTGAGGATGTGGAATTGGAGGTGGAGTTTGAATGGGAAGTAGACGTGTTGGTCTGGGCTGGGCTGGATGCGGTGAGAGACGATGAGGAGGGAGGCTTGTTGGGCAATCCAGACGTGGGGAGGCTAGGTGAGGGAACACTGGCACCAGGCATGTTCAGGAGGTTTGAAGGTTTTGGAGGAGTTAAAGCTGCAAATGTGTCAAATACAGACAAGAAAATAAGACTTAATAGGTTTTCATTTCATGGTAGTGCAGTGCCTTTTTAAAAGATTATTCAGCTGTAACAAAACTAATTAATTAAACAATACTGAAAGGTGATACAAAAGAGGCAAACGATTATTTTTTATGTGAATCATAAAAAGCTTTGTGAAATGACTACAAATATCACAAAATCAAAGCCTTGTACTTTGTGGTATTTTCTGGTCTAAAGCTTAAGTGTTAGCATTTGAGACAGGTTGGGTACATAATAGCACAACAATAGCAACAATGGCAATGGTCATTAAATTATGTCAGATATATTTGCATCAGTGTTAATGAATATATGTGGCAGATGGATTCATAGTTAGATCCGATGCCTGGAAATACACAGTACTTCCTGTAGCAATGGATGATCATTTATTAAACTAGTTTAGTTGAGAAAACCCATCTGCAACTCTAAACCTGAAATGTTAGTAGTGAAAAAATGCCAAATAGTGACGTACCTGAATTAGATGAGTTAAAGCTGGGAAGAGAGGGGCTGCCAACCCCTGGTAAAAGGACAGGTGGGATACCTTGCAGGTTTGGATAGGCCGACTGGAGATTTAAAGCCTGCATTGCAGGGTTATCAAACATCCCCTGCTGCTGCATGGCCTGTTGCTGCGCAAATCCTAAAACTTCATTGGCCTTCTTAATGCGGTCCATTTCTTGCTGGGCCATAAGTTGGCGGACAGTAGCTGGGTCAAAGTACTCTTTCTCTTTATCGATCTGGCTGCCAATAGTATCCTTCACCTTAGAGATGTGTTGCTGGGAGAAAATGTGATCGCGAACAGAAAGGCGAGCGCTATATTTAACACCACACAAAGTGCACTCAGTCTTCGGCCCCTCGTAAGACGTCTGATTTATTCCGAAGTGCTTGGCCATATTGAGCTTTGCCTTTTTCTCCTTCGCGCGAGCATTTTGAAACCACACCTGAACCACTCTCTTTGGAAGTCCAATATCATTGCCAAGTACCTCGCATTCCAGCATGGTAGGTGTCCTGTAGTCGTTAAAACAGGATTTTAACAATTTCAGCTGGAGGTTAGTCATCTGGGTTCGGAAGCGCTTTTGGCCAGGTCTATCTCCACCTTCAAGGCTCCTGCTACCAGAGGCTCCAGGACTTGGTGAGCAGGGGTCAGCCAGACTGGACGTCTCACTGTGGTCAATCATATTTTCATTTTCATAGTCCTTAGCATAATAGCTTGTTGCAGGGCTCACTAGTCCCGAGGACATCTGGTCATCATTTTCAAGGATGGGAGCTGTGCCCCCAGACTTAGACAGGTAATCGCCACTATTTTGGCTGTGCTTTGCATCAGCACTGTCATTATCAGCATTAGCCTCATCACCTGTGGTTGTGTCTGTAATGGCTGTATTCACAGAAGAGCAGTCATCATTATCGAGTTTGCTCTGATCAAAGTTCAGGTTCATAGAGGACATTGTGGCACTCTCAAAGTCTTCCATTCCTTCAACTTTGATGGACGAAGGGCTCAGTAGACCCCTTGGAGACAAGTCCAAGCCTTTGTTCATGGGTGACATGGAGGAGCTTTGTCCATCACTGTTTGTAGTAGGGGGTAGCTGGGAGTAACCTGATGTATCAAGAGCATCCATTTTTATTTGCATGTTCTCCTGCTCAGGTAACATACCGCTGAGAGTTAAATTATATCCAGCACGTTTGGCTTCATGCCAGTGACGAGAGCGAATGTGTGCTTCAAGGGCAGTCTTTGCTTTAAAAAGAGCTCGACAAAAAGGACACCTACGATGAGCTTGGGCTGGCCCAACAGCTCTAAACTGGCCTTTTCTCTCTCTGGCTCTGGTATTCTGGAACCACACTTGCACAACTCTCTTTTTCAAACCCACCTCAACAGCAATGTGGTCAAGCATTTTACGCGTAGGATTAGAATCTAATAAATACTTCTGATATAAGATCTCTAGCTGTTCAGGTGTGATGGTGGTTCTAAGCCTCTTGTCTCGCTGTGGCTCTTCTCCACTATTTGTGCTATCGTTTTCTCCTGGACTAGTGCTAGCTTTCTCCTCTAACTTCCTTTTCAGGGAGTTCATAGTGGAGGTTGGGGTGGACGGAGAGGTGGCAGAGCTGCTTGGAATTTGTGGCATCCCAGAGATTAGCTGGGTTGCCAGGAGAGGATTGCTAGGATCAAAAAGCATGAAAGACATGTCAATTGGACGGTCGAGGAACTGCGGGTGGATGAATTGATTTTGCACAGAAAGGAAGTGTAATTGCTGGTGTTCCTGCCAGTGCTCAAAGGAGGGGAAGCCAATTTTGCACTGCTCACACTGGTATGGGATCATCTGCTGTGCCAGTTGTTGTGTGGCAGAGGTCAAGTGTGGATTGAGGCCCATGTGAGAGCTTTGTGATGAAGGCTGGCTTGTCTGTGAGGCTGACAGACCACTCTGCTGTTGCTGCTGAGAAAAGGAGGAAGTTGAATGCTTGGAGGGCTTAGAAACATTTTGGATCTTCTCTTCTCTCTGTGGTCTCTGGTGTTGTACCTCAGATTGAGGTTGGTGCACAAGTTCCTGTTTAATGGAGATTTGGTTTTCTCGCGGATCAGCGGTTATTTCTGGTAACTGCTTGGGCTTCTCATCATAGAGGTTTGAGGTGGTTGCTGGTGATGCCTCCTCTTTCTCGGTGGAAGGGAGGTGTGAGAATGCTGAAGTCGTGGGTGGAAGTGGGCAGAGACTCGAAGAGGAGGGCATTGGGGTGTGACAGGAAGACCCAGAGGGAGTGTAACATTCATGGGAAAAATCCATTGAATCCTCATTTTGGCTGTCATACTGTCCATCCTCATCTTCATCTTTGTAACACAGCTTCTTTTGGTGTTTTATTAGATCAAATATACGCTGGAAAACGAGACTACATTTCTTGCACTGGTAGTTCAGGTTAGATGTGCGAATGTATCGGTCGTTTGACAGTTCTCTTCTTTCACCATCTTTCCCTCCATCACCTTGATTTTCATAATTCTTCCTTGCTTTCTGACGCGCATTTTGGAACCACACAACAATAACACGGGTGGGGAGGCTCAAAAGGTTTGAGAGCTGTTCAAATTCATCATCTTTAGGATAAGCATTGGCATCAAAGAAATCTTGCAGAACTCTTAGCTGGTAGTCAGTAAACCTAGTCCTGGATGATCTCTTGCTTCCATAGTATTCGTGTTTCTGAGGTTCAGGAGAAGGAGGTTTGGAATCAATTTTAGTGTCTTCCAGAGTTGTTGTTGGTGGATTGTTGAAATTGTAAGGCGAGTCTTTATTGCGCTGCCTTTCTTTGAAAAGGGTGTTTCTGAACCAGTGCTTTATCACTTTTTGTGGAAGCCCTGACTTGTCTGCCATCTCTTTGATCTGGTCCTCATTTGGTGAATTGTTGATATCAAAGTACTGTCGTAGGACCCTAAGCTGATCGTCGGTGATGCGTGTCCGTGGTCTCTTGTTCTGCTGCAGCATGGCTGGTGTCAGTTGCTGTTGGTAGAGTTGGGCCAGGTCTGAGGCCAGGCTTGGCTCAACAGATGGCAACTGGGGAGGCAACTGAGTAGGCAGGGACTGAAGAGACATGGGCTGCATCATAAGTGGGGAGAAGAGCGGCAAATCCATTGGCATGGGTATTTGTGTCATTGGAACTGGTGCCTGTGGAGGTGGCACGGTTGGAGGTGTGAGTGAGGCATTAGACACAGGTATATTTGGGGTGGGAGCTCTTTGGGGTGGAGGAGGAGGTGGGGGTGGAGGAGGGGGAGGTGGTGGAGCTGGAGCAGCCTCTGGTGTAGGCGGTCTCAGTGGGTAGAGCTTATCATAATGTTCTCTGTATTCCTTGGCAAACCTCTCAAGGGATCGGAATGGAAAGAAAGCCTGGTGGATATGCTCCTGGTGACTCTTCAGAATCAGTATGTTTGAAAACAGCTTGCCACAGGCTTCACATTCCAGCTTCTCCAATCCCCCAATGGGATCTATGACTCTTGTTATTCCACCTGGACCACTTGATCCAGTAGGTCCAGCTGTCTTTTTCTGAGCTTTCTGTTTATTTTCATTGTACTGAATTACTAACTCAAACCCAAAATTTTCCAGCAGGGCTTTAGTTGCATTTCCTCGAGCATCTGAAGCAATCCTTGGTGGAGGCAAGCCAGTATCATGGTTTATGTTTATTGAAATATGCTGACTCTCCCTTTCTTTTGGCCTGCTGTCTGCAGAATCCTTATTTACATAGTCCTCATTTTTTTCGCTTGCATGCCTCTCCCTTTGTATTTCTCTGTCCTTGTCATTCTGAGAGGAGGGAGGTTTCTGCTTTAATTCAGCTTGTTGGAGGAGTGATGCACTCTGTTGTAGCAACGCCATTTGGCTCTGAACCTGCAAGTGTGATTGTTGTTGCTGCTGCTGCTGTTGCTGCTGCTGTTGTTGCTGTTGTTGCTGCTGCTGTTGCTGCTGAAGGTGGTGGTGCATCAATTGCTGCTGCAAGCAACTCTGTTGGGCTGAGTTTTTAAGATCTTCAAGCAAAGAGCTGGGGGATCCAGCCAAGCCAAGTGCTGAGCTGCTGATGCTGATCTCAGGATTTAGCTGAAATTCTGCTCCAGGGATGTAGAAAGGAAACAGCAACTGCTGCTGCTGCAGAGGCAGAAGTGCATCAGTTGTCATTGGGAAGTGCTGCAGAAGTGCTGGGTTGAACAGCTGCGACTGTAGAAGAGCAGCTTGCTGCTGGAGCTCTTGTTGAAGCTGTGCTTGAGCTTGGGCTTGAGCCTGAGCCAATTGCTGTTGCTGCTGAAGCTGTTGCTGTTGCTGTTGCCCCCTTGCAGAGAGAATGTCTGAAAATTTGGACTTTTTCACTTCGTGGTTCTCAGATGGTGAGGAGTGGCAGCTCACCGAGGAATTCCCCTGGTTTTCAGTGTTGTGAGTCTGGCTTGTGTGGTTTCCTCCTAGAATATTCTGGGCTGCCTGACTCCCAGAAGAGCTGTGGTTGGTGGAGCTAGTGTTTGAGTTGCTGGCTGGGCTTGGACTTGATGTTGATGTGCTCATGCCGGATCCTCCACTGCTTAAACCAGTTGCGCTTGCAGAGCTAGTGATCCCCCCTGCTGCCTCAAGTTTGGCTGCCCTAGCTTTGGTCTGGTGTAGAACAGAGCGCATGTGGATTTCCAAAGTTGAACTCTGGCTATATGCCACATTACAAGTGCTGCACTTGAATGGCTTGTTGTCAGGGCTGCTGGTAGGCTCAGGTTGACCAGTAGTAGACTCCTGAAGAGCCCTCTTCACCTTGTGTAGGTGGGAGACAGAGTTGTAATGAACCAGAAGGATGTTCTTCTGTGTAAAAGACTCTTTGCATACAGTGCATTTAAAAGGACGAGATGGATCCAGGAATTTCTCCATCGTAAAGTTTGGGCCTTTTCTGAATGGCAATGCACGTTTAGGTTCAGATCCAGAATCTTCCTGCAGTGAGCCAGAGTCACTGCCTGTCGGGCTTTGTTTTTCCTCTGGATCACTTTCATCTCCATCTTTGTCATCCTCTCCCAGACTTCCATGTTCTTCACCAAGGCTTGGATCACCCATTGCCATAATGTCACCATTCATCAATAATCCCCCATACAGCTGCTGGATGTCAGCTTCACTCAGTTCCAGGTGGCTGGTTTCTAAATGCTTCTTCAGCGCCTGTAGTGTTCTGAAGCTTCGCTGGCAAAGACAGCACATGGTGGCTGCCCTGATCACATGATATTGTGAATGGAGTTGTAATTTCTCCACAGTCTTGAAGGCCAGACTACACTGGTTGCAGCGGTACTTGTAGACATGCCGATCTGAAACAGGCAACTGGTGCCTTTTGTTGTGAACCTCATTGAAGTGCATTTGTAGGGAGTTAGAGGTCTTGAACAATTGATTACAGCCTTTCTTCCAGCACAGGAATCCTGTGGCATCCTCCCGTTCTGATTGTTGATCTTCCAGAGGTGACTTGCGAGCTTCAGCTATTTCAGTAGGGAGTGACACCCCTTTTTCTGGATCAGCATCTGATGCATCTGTGAATAAATAAGTCAAGAGAAGATAGCCATTCATCAGATTCTACATTTGCTGAGTGGAATTTTTCCAGTAATATCAATAAAGGACATTCAGTGTGTTAGTGGCATGGAAAGGTGCCAAAAAAACAAACAAGCCAAGCACTGACTAATTACAAAATCTGCAAACACCAACAATCTTTCATAATGTGTTGGTGTGAATGCAGGCCAAAATTGTGAAATGCTTCAGTAATAACAATTTTTTCCAGCCTATGCAATAAATACTGACTTTTCCAAAGTGTAAATGCACAACAACAACAACAACAATCTTTATTTATTACACAGGTATAAGGTTGTAGAATGTAGCTGAATCTCATTAATATACACCAAGTGCATTAACATGCTCACTACAGAACACATAGCTTTTAACAAACAGATACTAACCAGCTTGCTTCTTTGTATCTTCAGCGTTAGAGTTGGATGTAGCATGAGGGGTGCTCTGCGGCTCTCTGTCTGGACTCGGCACAGGTATGAACATGCTTGCTGGTAGTGCTTCAGTTGTCGTCACCTGGAAAAGCAATTGTAAAGGAATGAGCAAACAGGTGAGGTAATGTCATCTCTTAGTTTAAACGACTACATGAAAGAATACTGACACAAACAAGAGGATACACAAAGACGTTACTTAGCTACTTACATACATACATATTCACATATACATTCTCCAGTCCCCCACATATATCCATGACAGAAGAAAGGCTACTTTTGTGTCATCCCTCAAGAAATGAGATAGATTTCTTGAGTACTAGTGTTTTTGTTTGCTAATTACTTAACAAAACACAGTACGTACTAATAAAGTAGAAAGATGAACCTAGCTTCCCCCTGGTCTCAGAGGGTTATGGTCAATCGTGAGTAACTGATTGCACAACATCTGTTTATTCTTGCTGCTCTCCCCTAACTTAGCTCATATTTCGCCCTCTGATTGCCCCTCTTCACCCCCAAACCTGACACTTCATTAAACATTCTCATTAAACAGGTCACCAGTGAGCAATATTCCATAGAGTTTAATTTAGTAATAAGACTCTACCTTTGTTAGCCTTTTTTCAATTAACTTTACAAGCAGAGCAATAATCTTCAGTCTACGAGTTGCATTTCAGTTTACATCACCTCTCCCATTTTTCCTTCTGCGTTGCCTCTATATTAAGACTTTTGATTGGTAGTTCTTTCAAGTAATACCAATTAAAGGTGCCTTGCATAAGGGACACGAAAGAGGAAAGGGATCTTGCATATTGCTGGGCCCCAAGTATAAATGTTGGTCTATACACAGAACATATTCTGTATGCTTTCTAATTACTCCTCTAATAACAGTGAGAACACAACCGAAAGTACCATAGCATGTCATATAACCTCTGGGTGAGATCGAAATAGAGCAGAATCTGCCCTGAAGCAACAGGATTTTTGAGGTCTGGTGTAATCCTTTATATCCCAAAGTCAAACACTATATGACAACTGTGATCACACATTTACCAGAAGACATCCACCCATTCCCGTCTTTGTTTGTGTTACCTCTTTATTTCTTAAAAATGAAACATAGAAAATTAGTGCAACCAGCATAGAAACGCTTAAAAAAATTTACATTACAAATTTGACTGTTTCTAGACAACTGCTTCATTAGGCGATTAGAGGCAGGAGCAGAGTATCCCAAGGTCACTTTTAATTTGGACAGCCTAATTGCCAAACATAGTTCAAAATGGCTATCATCCAGTCAGACTCCAAATTAATGAAGCACAATTATTTTCATTACCCCTATCTTCCACAGACAGAAAATGAGACATAAAATCAGAGAGGGAGGATTGGAGGAGTATGTATATATTATACATATAGTTTTCTATCTATCATCTCTTTACATCTATCCATCCATCCATTCATCCATCCATCCATCCATCCACTGAATGTCAGGGAAAAGCATTACAGACGTGCAAAAGAAAGGAAATTAACTGAAAGGAAAGGAAAGACGATAAGTGGACGAATGGATGAAGGTTGTTAGAGTGAATGCATCATTATGCATGCTTGGCAAGAAATAAAAGTCACCTATTTCAAAATTAATCAGGCTCCTCTCAGTAGACATGTGAAAAAGATAAAGTACCTTTCTATCTGCATTCACTAGTTATAAAAAGGTGCTGGCTTTAATGTGTGTTATATTACCTCTGTTCTATCTCTTCTTGTAGTGGTTCAGTACATTACTACCTCTATAAAAGAAATAAATACTGCCGTCTACCATACTAATGTGCTTGCCATTTACTTTCTGGATGGGAGATGAAGATGGTTAGGCAGCAGACAGAGCAATGTTTTATTCGCTGATTGTCCAGCAAGCTATTTAGCTTCACAAGATAGAAGAGAAAAAAGGTTTGCTCAGTGATTTACATAAAAACGGGGATAATAAAATTTTATTTCTCCTTGATGAGCATTAAAAGATGCGAGGACATTTTTTTGCATAGGTACAAAAGTAAGTACCAGTGCACTGCGGCAGGTAAAGATTTCAGGGCTCGTGGTACAAACCAGCCAAATCTTTCCCTGATAATACTGAGAGTGCACACTTGCATTTAAAAAAACAAAACAAAACAAAAACAACAATAAAAAAGAACTCCATAAGCTGTAATTTAGTCAGATTAGTGGTGAATAACAACATTTCAGTTGGTTTTATTAAAATTTCATGAAGTGGTTTGACTGTTCATTATATTTTGATTAAGCAGTGTCACATTTGTTTCACCACAAATTGTAAAAGGCCTTGTTTTGACTGGCATGCAGGTGATCATAGACATGGCAATAATGTCAGTGAACTAATAAATGAACTGGGAGCTAAGAGACCCGCTCATCTTGAAATGATTAAAAAACACAAAAACCGATTACAAGCTCCCCTCCCCAGATGACTTTGATTAGAAGAGAGCTGGAAAAGCCTTTCTGATTATGGGTACATTAAGACAATGAAGAAGAAAAGAAAAGAAAAAAACAGAAGAAAAGTATGCATCTTAAAAGGTTTGATGATTTGCAGCAAGCCAATGGGATTGCCTGTAGCCATTACACAATTAACAGCATTCTTTGTGTTGACTGAGTGCTCGCAATTTAGAGCAGTGAGGGCAAGAATGACACAGATACAGAGGCATTTCAGTGGAAGGGGATTCATTAGCAGTGAGTTGCTATTCTTTTCGACAATAATGAATCCTTACCACAGTCCTTCACCTGACACACTGCTTGTCCCCTGACTGGCCATAATATAAGTACGTAGCAATACTCTCGACCTAGAGCTTTGATTAGCGGTTGCTTTCTTGCCTTCACCACTAAGTATAAAAGAATTTGGAGATAATAACACTCCGAGAGATTGGTCTGTGTGGATAGAAAACTGGAATAAAACGAGGTGCTATACATGCAATAAAGCTTGTGAAAGTTGGAAGGACTTTTTTTTTCATCCACTTATTTTTCTCAGCTGCTGTAGTAAATTTGTATGCTAATGCTATGGCAGAGCTAAATGCTAAATGACCAGAGTAATAAAAAGACTCCTACAGTCAAGCTAATGAATGCCACCCTAACAAAAGAGAAGCCAATTTCAATATACCTGGAAAAATAAAGATTAAAGAAATAATAAAAATAAAGAAATAAGGAGAGACATGGTAATAAACCCTGCTGTGTCCAACCACATGCAAAATACACCGAATACAGAACTCACTGTGGCAATGAGCTTATCAACGCAATCGGGTGCCACGCTGTGGAGATGTGTGAGGTGAAACTGCAGGTGGATCTTGTTGTTGAGCATGTCCTGGCACAACGGGCAACGTAACATGGGCTGGACAGAGTGCTGTGTCATCACGTGCATTCTGAGGCGATTCAGATCCGTGTTGGTAAACTTGCAGTACGGGCACTGGTACATCTGGGTGAAAGTAAAGACAGAACAGAGGAAGAGAGACGGGGAGGCGAGAGGAGGGGAAACACAGATCCACAAAGAGTTAATGGGGTGAAATGGGTGCACTGATCATGGTGGGCCTGCTTGAAGAGAAGCGGTGGATCAGGGATAGAGTGGGGGCCTCTTCCCTGAAGCAGGCAGATCCCTCTGATCACAGACAAGTGTGTAATACCAAGCACCGCTGAGTCCTGGCACCCACTTCAAAGTGCTCTCATCTGTCAAATACTATATTGATTTTCCACCTTATACACAATTAGCAGCGCAACTGCAGCAGGAAGCCTAATATAATTTTGAGTATATTTGAAAAGAAGATTTCTGCATAATATAAAAAAAGTCAGTGAGATAACCAACTGAAAATTATTAGTATATTTTTGTACTTTTTTTTTAAATGATGTGCAAGTTTTAGACTTTTAATGAGGGCTTGGTAATTAAGGATGATATAACCTTTAGCAAGAAACCTCTAATTCAAAGTCTGGAAAATAGTTTTATGAACATCTGAGGGCATCAATATTCACAAAATACTGTGGTGTGGAACTCTCACCTGCTCCGCAGCACCCTTCTCAGCTGTCCTGGGTCGTTTCGAGGAGAGTGGGCTTTCTGAGGCCTCTGACCGTGAAGAGGGCCTTTTGGAAGGAATTGGGGAACCTGACTGGTGCCGTTCCAAGTGGCCGGACAAAGCTGAAGAGAGACACATTCACAAAGACACACGCAAACAAGGAGGAGAGTTTTTAATTATAATATAAGTGCATTTAATGGTAAATGAGCAGAGGGGTTGTTGTTACAACAAAAATTATTCACATTTTGTCTTCCAAATCTGCTGCTGCTGCTGCTGAGTGATAAATGTCTGCTTCACTGTTGGCTTGTAAGAATATTATACAACACTGGAAAGTGCTAATAAAAATATTAGCTTTCTGCAGGTTGCAGATTTAGGTTTCATACCCCCACAATTTCAGTCCATATGAGGTTCAAAACCTGAGACAAGACATACAAAGTCTTTCTTCCACAGAGAGAAGGCTGATGATCCAAACCAGTATTAAACTACTCTAAACATTGACTCTTTCCGTGATTACCCTTCAGTCCATGAGAACTCGTGTGCAACATACATGCGACTGTCAAATTTGACGCAATGCAAAATATATATTACAGTATGATTTTTGTTATATGGCATTATTATTGCAATATTTGGATGGTGAAAAAACAAGTGCAACAAGAAAATAACACATCTTTTTTGGCTTAAACCAAACTTTTTGTTTAAACTGCATAGAGAGAGCTGAGGGGGGAGTTTTAATTCAGGTACCTATCCATTAAGTCACAGTTTTGCCTCAAAAGAAAATGTATTTAAGGAGTGATCACACCATTTTATGGAAGATTTCAATCAAGCAAAGCTGGGAAATCTTATCAGCTGTTTTGTTCCAATAAGATTTTTCGTATTTCTGCTACCAAATGTCTTCAGCGCATTGTAGGTTGCACGATTAGTCTGTGACAAAGAGGAAAATGGAGCAGCAACATGGGAAAAACTTTTCTTAAAGCATTGACAAAATCCTGACACTACGCCCAAAGTTCGGATGCACAAGATAACAAGCTCTCATTTAACAAAAAAGCTTTCAAAGATAAAAAAACAAACAAAGAAAAAACCCACCGCTAGATACAATGACGGCATGAGACTGATGATTAGTCATACCTAAGTATGTTTACAAGATTAAACTACACTTTGGTGCTCACAAAATGTGCTACAGCCATTCTGAATTGGTTGGCAATTCTTCTTACTGCATTTTTTGGATTTACTTTGAATGTTGGTTCAAAGTTGGCTTGTTGGTTGTTTTGGAAATGCCTCCGAGCCAAACACAAAGACAGTAACAACAGACAGTAAATTGTTGCGAACTGCATTACCAAGTCTACAATGCATTTATCGGGACCGTGTTAGGAGCAAAGCAAACACTACTGCGAGTGGCGACAGGCATCCGCTTTCCTCCTCTTTTAAAGTGCTGCCATCTCCACGGTGCTATTGCCCTTTTTTTCCCCTCAACAAAAATAGGTCCAAACAGTCTGGCCAAAACATCCCTAAGGCGCAATGAAAATGTCTGTTTGTATTGTATGTTTTTATGTATTGTATGTTTTTGGATTGTTACGTGTTGGTGCATGGAAATGTCATGTGATTTCCACTGCAATCCTATCTATCCATATATAAACTTTGAATGCAAACAACGCTAATATCACCAAAATACAATTTCTGTACAGCAAGGCCTCACACAACATCGCCTGCAAACCACTTTAGACTACTCCACTTCATGAAGGAAAGGAGAAACTGGTGGTGCACAGAGAGTCACGACTGTAGTTGAGCAGTTTAGCGTGGGCTCAGAGAGGAGCTAAATCCACATAGAGCCTGTATAGGGGGAGCTGCAGTGGCACCCCACTTTGTCACCAGTGGAAAGAATTCATGGTGAAAGTGTTGGAGTTGTCTCGCTGAACCCCTAACAAGCCCATAAAGAGTTAAATTTGCCCTGATTTGTACAGTCCTGGAAGGGCAAATTGAGAACAGAGGGCATTGGTAGGGGAGGGTTGGTTTGGCAGGGGGTCAGGTTAAGCAGGGCTGACCACGCTCCTGCTCCAGACATTAAAATGTCAGCTCCAATCAGGATGAGGGCAGTTGAGCTGATTACCCAGTGGGGGACCTGGTTTTGGCCAGAGCAGGCTGCAAGATCTCCCAGAGACACCGGGATCAGCAAAGGAGACCCTATTAGGGTCCAGTCACAGTCAATCCTATTAAACACATCCGCCAATAAACAAAGGGAATGTTAAACAAAAGGAACCTCCCATTCCCTGACATTAACCTCTCAGTCATGGCACTGTCCTCACCAATTCATCCTCAACTCCACTTCAGTCCACTCCTACTTCCCCTGAACTCATCTCTCGAGGAGAAAAAATCTCCGGTCACCTTCACATTTCAATTGTCTATATCTTTGGCAAACCCACTGGCATTAAATTTTAAATAAGCATATAAATATTTTTTTTTAAAAACTGTCTTTTGTACTATTTTCAATTAAAATAAACATTTTTACACAGCACCCCAACATTTTAGGAAATGGCTTCATAATTTTATTTAACAGTAATACTTTTTCCTTAAGGACACACAGCTATCTATATTTCCTACAGCACTGCATGTCATATTTTATAAACACCATTTCTGCACCAATAGGTAGCTCCTTGGCATTCCACCATAATTTTCATACGTCAAGATAACTTTTCTCAAGGACAGATAATGAAACATATCAAAACAACTCTTACAATTTAGATAATAATGTAATTGAAATTCCCAGATAATTACCCAACTTCTTTAACTGAGGGAGAGTTATAAAGTGTGAAAAAAAACCCCTCACACAAACATTAAGAACAGTTAACTTAGCAGCAAAGCACATACATACAGTACAGCAAGTAAGCAGGGACAAAGTATCACGCATCCACCCCCCTCTTATCATTAAGAGGACAAACATAACTAAGTCAATTCCACTTTCACATTGCTTTCATTAATTTCTCAATTAGCACCGGAGAGGTGAAACAAGTGGCAGTTTGTGTTGAAAGCACAGCCGCTTTCTAGTTCAGGTGCTTTATGTTCATGAGTGTGTAAAAGTGAGAGCAGGACAGATGGAGGGCAGGGGAGGCTTACTGTGATGCAGTCTCTCGTCACGGCCAGTTAGGACTCCATAAATCAATAGCATTCTCCTAAGACTAGTACACCCCAACACCTTCACCGGCACCGTGACTAACATCCAACTACTGTATCAGATTTTTTTTCTCTTCAAGGGTGATGAAAAAAAATGACCGAAACATTGACAAACTAGTATGAAATAGAGATAAAACTTTTTGTTTTTGGTCATGTACAGTCTGACATGTTAGATTGGACACTGTTGTCCGAAGCTCACACATGTGACACACATATCTGCAGTGTGAACAGGTGATCCGAACTAATGACCGAAACATTGCCTCCCGATGGAGCATTTACAGTCCATGGTGAGATTTGTTACTGATGTCAGAAGGAGCTGGCAGTTGAAGGTAAAGTCTAGTGTTACTTTGCGGTATTAAAATAGAAGGTGTAAGAGCACAGAAAAAAAAAACAACTAAATTGCCATCTAGGATAATACTGCAGTCATTAGAAAAAGTCAGTCGTGGAGTTACATCTTCATTACTGGGCCCTTTATGTCTTGTGGTGGAACTTCTAAAAGCTTTAAAAAGCTTTAAAAGCTCCTAAAACTACAGCGCGTTTATGCAACCTCAGCGTTCGTTCAGATCATCAGTGTCCATCCTGTTCACACAGAGAAAACTGGAGTGTCCACGTCTGCCAGTGACCCTTTAACTGCCCAGAGTCTGCCTGCCAACCTGACCTCTTCTGCCCAGTCTCTAGGCACAGTGCCCCCATCTGCAGCAAACGTCTTCTGACAGATACATAGAGTGGGCTTTTGTCTGAAAGCACAAAAGCCAGAGCAAGAGTGGAGAAAAAAACGAAGAGTCAATTAGGTGATTATTAATTCATGCCCCTTTTCCGTAAACCAGAGGCTTTTGTGCTGTCGAGTCCCGTAAGTGAATTGGACTTTGGCACCTTGTCTTTCCCCCATAGCTGGACTGTATTATTCAAGCAGCAAAGGGGCTGTCAGCACACTACACCAGTCTCAGGAGCAATCACAGCCTTGTTGTGCTTTCAAGGGGGGGAAAAAAAAAAAGATGGCTGCCGGACAGAGTGACTGACACAGCACAGACTAAATTAACCACAACAGGTCATCTGCCATTGAATTCTTGCAGGAGTGCAATCACAGCTGCCATTAATCTTTGTCCTTGTGAAAGGTTATCCATATTCTAAAATGTTACAGTTACAGTAAACGGTATGTAAGGATGTCGGAGACAGGAAAAATGTTTCTTGTGTTGTGTTTAGGAGAGGAACTCTCCTCCTACAGAATGAGACGAGCTCCTCATCGTGTCCAGAGCCTCTCTCATTACCATAGCTTCTCTCTCACCATCAGTTTTAGGCAGCAGTTATAAAAAACATAGCCTATTATCCATTCTGCCCATGCCAACAAGGTCATATAACTTTACTGTCACTTTGCCCGGAACAGCCAGAGTCTGCCAATCATTTTAAACTTAAGCTCAGTCGACAATTTCCTCACTATAGTGAAACTCAATGATTCTTGCCGAACACCGTTTCTTCTGATCCCCTGCACCCAGAAACCTTTCACCTTCACAGTGCCGGGACCTTCATGCACCTGCAGCTCTCTGCTTCTTGCACCGCAGAAAATCCTCACCTCTATTCCCTCAGCAAGTTGGCCATTAATATGGAGATGATTCAACTCCCCATGCTACAAGTCATTTTCTTTCACCGCTATGCAAACAATACCTGAATATTGTCTTTTCTCTTTCCCCATTTCTATCCTGGTTTTTTTAATCTACGGCCCCCGTCAGAGCACAGAGCAATAAAGGGCAGTGTTCCATCTCACCTCATATTTCCAAGATAATTATTCTGCATTAATAATAAAAAAAAAGAGAGGGAGAGAGAGAGAGAGAGAGACAGGGACCTTCGACAAAAAACCTGACATTGGGGCTACACCTGGATTTATATATAAAACCATTCTTCATTTACAAAACAAAACAAACCCCTTATAACAAACTGTATAAGAAGGAGTGAGAATAGCATGCGTTGTGCAGTATAAATTGAGATGCTAATTAGCGGCGGCTCTTTTCATCTATAGACCACTGCACAACTGGATGACGAGTTGTTCACCTTTAAATGACACAGTACTGCTTGGCTATTAGACAGCCTGTGGTAAAACTCATAAACATTGAGCTTTCAGGGAGGTGGCTCACAAACAAGGACAATTTATGGCCTATTATCTTCAAAGACAAAAGGAATTATAATTTCAGGGATGACAAACACTGAAAGGATGTGCTATGAATATGTAAACATTTCCGCTGCTCTGTCTCCTGATTTCTCATGCTACTCAAGGTTTAAAAGCAATAACAAATCACCACCGCACTGAACGTCTCACAGTTTGGAGTAACAATAACATAAACGTGAGTAATTTGATTGCAACTAACCATAAGGCTGCAATTTCAACTTTCAACCGCAGCCAGCATTAAGTCTATGTGTTTCCAGTGTTATTTGGGAAACAATTCATAACGTTTAGCATGTCTGTTTGTGAGGCAGCAACAGCACAAGACTAACAGTATTATATGGAGCTCAATAAAAAGAACAGAAGAAAAAAAAAAAGGAGCAGACTGCAATGCCACAGTGCCGCGTCTAGGGGATGCTAATCATCTAGTTCATTATACAGATCAAATGCAGCAGCCTCGGTGCAGAACACAACATCTGCTTCCCTTACGCACAGCAGAGCTGAATGCACACACACATGCTGCACATTTACATAAAAACAGGTGGATGCGGAGCCCAAAACGCACACAGATTCACTCACTTACAAATGCATATTACAGGAAACTCTAGCGGCTTAGTCTTTGTTTTGACAGATTTCACAGGTTTAATGTCAATGTTTAACTGAGAATGCTTGAGCAATTTTTTTTTTAACACATATGTGAGAAAACTGGCTGGAGAAGCATTAAGGATCAAGAAAAACTGACACAGGATTGGCACATGCTACAGAGAAAGCCACAAACTAATGTCTGAGTTGCTTTCTAGTTGAGTAAATAGGTTTTGGGGCATCATGAAGTGATAAAAATACCGTGACTATTTGTACAAATGTAATGTAAAAACAGTTTGTGAAAGTTCAAATCGGTATGAACCTGTATGTAACCTTTAATTAATGCTCCAATAAACTGTGTCAAAATCACTCTCTGGGCTCTTTGTTAAGAGAAATAAAGAATTTAGAAGAATGTCTGCAAATACTTACAGATTCAAGATTTCATTCATCACTTGTTAAAAATGATGAAAAAGCATGAAAAGCATGAAAGTTTGAGGAAAACAGTATATATATATATATA